CATGCAGTATGACCGCATTCCTTTCTCTGTCAGTAGTACAAACTAGTACTTTACAATAATATACAATATTGAGGATGCTTATAGAGGCCAGGATCAACGTAATATAATGCAAACCATTGCAGCAGCAAAAAACAACAACAACAAACAAAAACAAAGACAAATAAACAACAACAACAACAACAATAACAGCAGCAGCAGCATCACCACCACTACCACAACATAGGCCCTACCACGTTTCTTCACAATGTACTCTTCTTGAGCATGTTTATCCTCAGCGTCTGCTAGGATTAGTATCTTGAAATGTCAAAACGAAAGAGTGGATGGGAAAGCGAAGGAGTTGGAGAAGACGAAAATTAAAGAAGGAGAAGAACTAAAAAAAATTAACAAAACTGACTTCAACTTTTCATGTGGAAGAGAAAAGTAGTAGCGAAGCTTTTTCATCTCAAATCGACAACAAGAAAAGCCTACTGCTAGTACTATTGGAGCTGGGGTAGCTGATGGTTAATCTTCTTCATCTCAAATCGACAACTACCAAGAAGAGCCTACTGCTGAAGCTGAGCTACCTGATGCTAAAACAGTCGAAACTGGTAATACTTCAAGAACAATGGCAAATGATGAAAGTCTTCTAGGTGATATAAAGGACCATGTGCTTGAAATGTGCATAACTCGCGGAGCAAACCAGTTTCGGAATTTGGCAAGTGACTTTCCAGAAACAAAACGAGACTTTTCTGGCGTGAATCGAGATTTAAATAACTGTGCATCCAAACATGTTTTGTCAAATGGAGAAGTAGTTGATAGTGACTGGCTCGTATATTCTCCAGCCAGAGCCTGTGTTTTCTGTTTCTCTTGCTTTTTGTTTTCGCCAGACCGTGTACATCTTTCTGGTCAAGGGTTTACACATTGGAAGAATATAACCAACTAGTTAAACAAGTCCCAAACATATAAACTCAGTCTTGACTTTATGTGATCGTAGTGTTGCTGCTGGGCGAGTTGACGAGCGGTTACACCAAAACTTACTGGAACAACGAAAATGCTGGAAAAACATTTTGTTACGTTGTATTAAGACAATCATTTTCCTTTTTGAGAGAGGGCTGGCTTTTCGAGGCAGTAATGAAATCGTTAGGTCCAAGGACAATGGGAACTACCTGGGTGTTTTAGAACACATTGGGCAGTTTGATCCATTTTTATCTCAGCATATCAAAACTCATGCCAACCAAGGACGTGGACACACTTCATACCTATCAAAAACAACCTGTAAAGAATTGATTAACTTGTAAGGCAAGCATGTTCTTGACCTCATCAAGGAGGAAATTTCTAAGGCAAGGTACTTTTCAGTCTCCGTAGATTCTACTCCAGATGTTACGCATTCTGATCAGTTAACCATTGTTTTACGCAATGTCAATATGGTAGATCACCAGCCCGAGGAGCGCTTTTGACATTCATCAACATCTCCAGCCACACATGACAGAATCTTGCAGATACGGTGCTCCAATACCTAGGGGAGCAAGGCATCGACTTTGAGAATTGTCGTGGCCAGACACACGACAATGCAAGTAACATGTCTGGTAAATACACTGGAATGCAGACAATCTTGAAAAATAAATCTTGTGGATCATATTCCGTTCGCAGGCCACTCTCTAAATTTAGTTGGTTAATCAGCTGTAGATTGCTGGGTGGAAGCTGTGCCTTTCTTTCAGTTCCTGCAGCGCTTGTATTTATTTGTTGTTGCATCAACACATCGTTGGAATATTTTATTACAACACTTTGAGGAAAATCCTGAATGCCTTGTCCCAAAACACCCATCGGATACCCTGTGGTCTGCCCGGGCTGATGCGACAGAAGCAGTCTTCAGGGGCTACAAACAATTCCAAAGTGCTCTACAAGTACAAGAGATTGCAGAAGTTATTGACCTGAATGGTCTCACGAAGCACAAAGCTGGCGCTCTTGCATTATATGGACACCATTGAAGTTATTTTCATGTGTGAACTTTGGAATGACATTTTGCATCGTTTCAATTGCTGTAGTAAACTGCTACAAAGTTCAACTATTGAACTAAGCCCGGCCATTGGATTATTAAAAAGTTTAGACACATATATAGATGAGTGTCGAGGAAAGTTTGACTATTACCATTTCAAGGCAAGTGACCGATGTGGAAGCAGCATATATAAATCAGACTGCCGGAGAGCACGTGTACACAGGAAAACAGTAGATGACGGAGATGCCGCAAGTGTGATGGATGAAATGTCGGGTCAGGAGAAATTCAAAGTGATTACATTCTTGGTTATCATAGACCAACTGAAAAGTTCCCTATGCAGACGAATTGACGCCTATTCAACAGCAATGCAGAGGTTTGGTGTTTTAACAGAGTATAATTCAATGTCAGCTGAAGACATCAATGCTGCAACATCAGCACTAGTTAATGTCTATCCACATGACATCTCTCCTAACTTTCCAATGGAATGTAGACAGTGCCTATGTTGGGTGAAAGAGCAAGTTCATCCGGATAATACAACTGGAAGCGCCCACAGCATTTTCAAACTCTTGCATACCACTGGTGTCCACTCAGCTTTTCCAGACAGCGAGATAGCCTTGCGGATGTACCTGTCTCTAATGTCAACTATCTGCACTGGCGAAGATTCATTTTCGCAATTGAAATGCATTAAAGACGCGTTCAACCATGCCTCAGCAGAGGCTAGGGATGCTTGCACTTCTTTCAATTGAAAGCGATTTACTGCACAACGTTGACCTTACTAAATTCGTCGATGAATTCGCTGTTGCAAAAGCACGCAAGATGGCAATCTAGGTAGAAAAATAATAATGCATAATTTTACTTGGTCGTGAGACCTTAGTTACATTATCCTACTGGTATGTTGTCCATATTCCATACTGTCATACTTTGGACTGCATGACAGACAGACACACGCACAGACAGACCGTGCATGTGTCTGTAGTTTTGAATTTGCACGTGTGTGTGTGTGTGTGTGTGTGTGTGTGTGAGTGTGTGTGTGTGTGTGTGTGTGTGTGTGTGTGTGTGTGTGTGTGTGTGTGTGTGTGTGTGTGTGTGTGTGCGTATATCTAACTTTTTCAGGCCACTCAGTGAAGTGTGCCTTGGGGCCAGCTGGGTCTTAAACCGGCACTGGTTCAAAGTTTTGTTAAAAGTAGTACAGGGTTATCCTCTTTGTTTAGACACCCTGTTCAAAGAATAACGAGTACTTCACTGTTCCAATAGTGATCCTTTACCTCTCTTCCTCACCCCTCTCTCTCTCTCTCTCTCTCTCTCTCTCTCTCTCTCTCTCTCTCTCTCTCTCTCTCTCTCTCTCTCTCTCTCTCTCTCTCTCTCTCTCTCTCTCTCTCTCTCACCCTCTCTCCCCTCTTCCTCTCCCTGTTTCACAACAACAACAACAACAAAACTTGAACAAACATTCACACAAGCTTATACATTGATTACGACATACAGCAGGATCTACACGTTACAGAAAAAAAGCTATGCTGAAAGAAACATGATGTGTAAGCGTAATGGGAACGTCAATCATTACTGATTAAAACTAACCAGAAGTAAAATGCGTTTAAAGCGCTGATTTGAATTTTTATAAAGTGGTCGCTTCACGCAGACATGCTGATAATGCGTTCAACGGAGAGGGTGTGTGGTAGGAAAAACCTCTCCTTCCGAACCTCTGACTTTTCCTGCGTTGTTTTTTGTTTGTTTTGTTTTGTTGTTTGGAAGAGGGGGGGAGGGGGGTTGCGGGCCATTTTTAAATGGTATGTATTCGACTTCGATGGCCATATCGCAAGGATAATAGTACGGCGCAATGTTGTTGACGTATTTTAAAAATTAGGACAGCTATCTTGTAATAAATAAATATCATCATCATCATCATCATCATCATCATCATCATCATCATCATCATCATCATCATCATCATCATCATTGCTTCTGAGGGAGTACAGCCTCCCCCCCCAAAAAAAAACCCACAAAAAAACAACCCTCCCTAGTTTTCTTTTGACTTCTCTGTCCGGAGTCTTCCATTGTAAGTCACCACTGACATATTATGTAGACTAAACTGTGCCAATGGTGGCACAAACCAATCTATCAGTAAGCAATAGCTATACCATTGGCATTAGATGTTCAACAGATTTCTAGCTCAGGCATCTGTAACAGCTGAGCATTGAGATGGTACATTATAATCAAATAGACTAAAAAATCCATCCACCTAAGAGCGAAGTCCTCTATAAAAAGATATAAACGAAGAGTTAAAAAAGACGCCACATCTATAATATTAAATTCCCACGGGAAGATTTGGGTTACAGCATCATTCACACATAGATACATAAATAAATAATACAACAATGGTGAAATTTTATAGTTATAATAATGATGATATTAATAATAATAATGATAATAATAGTAATAATAATAATAATAATAATAATAACAATAATAATAATAATAATAATAATAATAATAATAATAATAATAACAATAATAATAATAATAATAATAATAATAATAATAATAATAATAAAAATAATAATAATAATAATAAAAATAATAATAATAATAATAATAATAATAATAATAATAATAATAATAATAATAATAATAATAATAATAATAATATTAATAATAATAATAATAATAAT